CCTCAAACGCTTCCAGGTCAGTTAAAACCATTAACTTCTGTTGCAATATGGAGTGTGAGTTACAGAAGCATCTTGCAAAATTTCTGAACTTCTTTTCTTTCTCCAACATTTTTTTTCAGCTGGAGTATTATGCCCCTTGCCCACAGAAATATTTATTCAGTCATACAGACCAGCTGCTTATGTTTTTAATGGTGCTACAGGCTGGATCCAGCTCTTCATCCTTGGACTTTTGTTCCCTTTCATTGTGGTAAGCAAAGTAGGGTGCTTTGCTGCAGTTCAGAGAAGGTTAGGTCCTTCTTGAAGCCAAAGCATGCTTCTCTTTTTCAACACTCCATGCAAAGGACAGAGCCCATATTAACTGCAGTTCTGATGGCCTCTTTCTTTTTATCCAGGTATCTAGTGAAAGCATAGCAAAACTACAAAACGCTGCTCATGCTACACACAGTTAGTGTGACACTGGCAAACATGGAAGTGGTGACAGAGACACATACACTGTCAGACACCATTTGAATGTCACAAGAAGCTCCCTTCTTTTCCCCCTTTGTCCTGTATGTGCATCTCCTTTGGGGTTAATGTGGAAAACGAGCAGTCCTAGAAATCTCACCCAGCAATGGTCAGTAGCAGGAAACTAAAGCATTTGCAGTTTTGGACTGTGCAAGGAGGCACAGAGCTAACACGCTACATACCTTCCGCAGTCTAGCACTGCCTGAGAAGGACGGAGCAGAAAGGAAAAGTAACCAAATCCCAGCACTTCTCTCAATTGTCAAGCAGTGACATTCAATGTGTGCTGAGCATACATATTCCTTTCTTAAAACAGGAGAGGAGAATTAGTTCATCTTACCATTCAGTGCCATTCCTCAGGTGGCAGCAAGCAGGATTTACATCAGCTGAGTCCCTAACCAAGTTTTTTAGTAAATGTAAATCCAGAAACTCCATAAGAGAAAGACATCCAGGCCAATTTATATGAACACATTTTGTCTCTTTCTTTTCCTGTAGGAAGGTCTTGGTAGTTTCTGTTTCATCATTTTCCTGACATACTGTGTGTCAATGGCTATCTTTGTCTTCCTGGTGATGCCAGAGACCAAAGGAAAGACCATTCTGCAGGTCATGGAGGAGTTCAACCGCCTGAACTACCGTGTAAAGAGAAGACAGACAGCCCTACCGCAGAATAACTGCTCGGTGATGACTGTTACTAGACTTTAATAACAAACTCTCCACTCATTGTTTTGCTTTTTTATTACTGTAGTGCCCAGAAGCTTCACTAAGCAAGAGAGAATTCATTGCTCCACAAACAGCACAGATGTGTATTTTAAAAATAATCACCTGCAGTGCAGGGTGCAGGATGATCTTGGTAGTTCTCTCCAAGTGATGAAATATGAGCTGAGTTACATCCTCTGCAGAAAAACATTAAACACAGTGTGTAAAGGAATAAGACCTTTGTCAGTCCCTGCAAGTTAGCAGCTGTCTAAACTGAAAGCACAGGATCTGCTATTTTTTTTTTACCAAAACCAGGACTCCAGAGCTACTGGAGGAAGTGAGTGTGGAAGATGCAGATGTACAGCATACCTGTGAAACTGAGAGAAAAAGACCGAGCTTTCCTGCGGAAATTATCTGCTCCTATTAACAAGTCAGTGCTGCTGAGCTTTCCCAGGGAAGGAGCTTCAGTCCAGATGAAGTGTTAAGCTCTTTAATCAGGTTCAAAAGTACCTTGCCCATCAGTAGACAGAATCAGTATGCAGTGTTTCTCACTCTCATAATTAGTCTTGAGAGCAAGTACATGGTATAGGGGCAACTAGAACTTTCTTCAGGAACTTATGATGAGGAGCTTCAGGTCACTTCTTTGACCTGCAGCATGGTTTTAATAAGTTTGGGGTTCTTTTCTGAGGGGAAGTCATTGCTACGTCTGAAGAAAAAAGGTGTAAAGGAGGTATAAGGTCCTGGTGTAAAGGAGACACTATGCTAGAGAAACATCCAAACATAACCTGTCACCTCAAGCCAAACCTCTTGCTTGGTAGCCAGGTACATTGCTTAGGTTTAGGAGATTCTACTGGGACAAGCAGGGATATGTCAGCACTGAAAGAAAGCACGAGGAAAGAAAGTAGAGCTATGAGTGGGCTAATCCACAGTGGGCAGGTTCTCCTTCTTCATTAGCAATGACCAGGCATATCTTCAGCCTGGAGTTATTTCATATCAGAGAGGAGGAACACAGGGTCTCAATGGGACTGAGTTCCCAAGAGTAACTGGTACTGATAAGACAAAAAAGTGCAGTGCCTTTCCTGGAGAACACAATTTGTGCATCTGAGTGTCTTCTTCTCTCTCCAGGTCTCTGAATACTCCATATTTTCATTACAAAACACGGTAAAAGGGGCTTCACTTTTTGTATTCTTTGCTATATGACGTGACACACTCTTGGTCTTCGTCATGCTTTGCAGTTTATTGATAAGGAAATAAAAAAGCAGTGACTAGAAAAACACATCCTGCTGATCATGCCTGGATTTGATTTTCATTAATTGAAGAGTCAGGGACAGGGACAGCCCGTCTTCCAGGAGTGTGTTGTTGGGGGTCAAGGAATATTGTGTCTGTCTTGTTCTGCAGATGAGCTCTTCACTACTGACTGTTGCAGATAATGCGCAATAAAATTTGCAAAAGGACCTGAATATTGAGGAGCAGTTTCTTTCACAGCCCTAAGGCTCCTGCTACTTTATCTTCACACCATCCTCCAACAGTATTTGTAGCCATGCTAAAAGCTAACACGAAGAGCAGTGGAGTTCCCCAGCACCACCATCCTTCCTATGACAACCATCATATTACAAAAAAATAACTAGACAAAGTTTATAGATTCAAGGCTGGAGGTCATGGATTGAACAATACCATAGTAACCAATATTCCTTCTTCTGGTCAAAAACGCAAAAATAAAAAGAAGGAACATTTAAAGTATCTTGAAAATAAAGGATTAGGCAAGACCTTGATTATTTTAAAAGTCTTTATTTGGTCTGGTCTTTCTCAACCTTACTCGTTCCTAGTGAGGAACTTTTTAGTGTCTTACAAGGCACTAAAAACTCACCCCCTTATATATGTCTTTCTACAGCGCGATCTTGTCCAGCATGCCTGACTTCTTCCCTTCTTCCCTCCTACTAGCAAATACTATCTCCAAGAGGGAAAGCGTGGTAAATCATTAACACTTCCATAAACTAGCATGGATTGAGAATAAAGGTTAAAGAAGCACTTGTGAATCCTCAGTGTTTCTATTTGATTTCCAGGATCACACAAGTGCAACACATGGCATCTTTGAAAACAAAATCCCTCCAAGCAAATAGTATTGCAAGAGCCAAGTACTGGGTCTGGAATAAGCACGTTTATGTAGTGTTCAAATCCTAGGTGGAAAGATTTGTCATGTCCTCTTCTTTAGGAAAATAAATAAGAGCTATACTAGGCATATAAGCCTTACTTTTTCCATATTACAGCACGGAACTAAAGTGTGAGACCAGATAGAAATGAGAGAGCAGTATGAGCATTCTGGAAGAAACACGGTCAACAGGAGGAAGAAGAACAGGGCTCTACAGGGATTGTTTGACCAACCAGATGTTAAAATCTGGCCACAGACAGTGTTCAGAACCCCTCCAGAAAGACCCAGAGCTGCCATGTGTGTCCTTCCTTCCAGCAGCCAAGCTTCCCATCCTCAGCTCAAGGAACAAATCCTCCTTTGCCTTCTAGTTCACTCAGGCTCCTCTGCACCCTGCCCACGGCCCTGCTTTAAGGTGCCTGAACCCTGCTGTCTGAGTCTAGCAAAATAGTTTGCTGTTATTCTGGCAGAACCCCTTTGAGAGGGAAAAGAAACATAAAAACAAACTTCAAAGGAACAGTATAGCATGAAAAGGCCTGGAAATAGAGATATAGCATTCAAATTTGATACAGGAAACAAAAGAAGTTAAAATAAAAGTAAAGATAAAATGAGAGAAATGGCAAAAGAGAGGGGTAATTATTTCAAAAATAGCTTTTAGTGTGTCCTGACAGAAAGCAAGAAGTAACACTGGATTGTTCAAGTATCTCATCAGACTTTTCCACCGCAGGAGTTGGGAACAACAAAAGTTCACAAGAGTTCAAAGAAGATCTCAATAAATGTGTGGAAGGAGCAAATATAAAGACACCATCCTGACCAGCTAAGTCTTAGGGTTGTGCCTTGCTGGGGCCTGGAAGAAGCACACTGGTAGCATAAGTTCTTATGCTTTGCCTACAACTGCTGTTTGCAACTGACAACTCTGGGATACTCTGCTGGACACAGCTCTGGTCTGATCCTGGAAGATAAAGTGGGTGGTGGCGGTAAGAGAGGACAGGGCACAGCTGTACAGTCTGGCTGCAGTCCTCTCTGTGACAGCAACATCTTTGGCTGAGGTGAGGGCAGAGGCCAGTGTTGAAGTGACTGAAGATTGAGAGGAAGAACTTGTAAGGAGCAACAGAAAACCTAAATAATGACAGGTTTTTTTGCAGTAGTAATTGAAGAGAAAGGTACGTTCTGGGGTGCTTTAGAAGAGGAAGTGATAATATTTGAGAAGTTTGTATTGAGAAGGGAAGGAATGAAATACACGATTGCAGCTGGTGTGGAAGTGATGAAGATTTTAGCAACAATGAAAATGGAATGGGTGGAAAGGAAAATTCAGTATGAATTATTTCACTGTACTGATGTGCAACAAGACACCCTGGCAGAGGGTTTGGAGAGAGCATAACTGGGATATCAGGCAGGAGAAAGTTCAAGGCGTGACTCAGCAAGCTCACCCTTGTGCTGCAGGGCACATGGCCCAGGGCATAGTGTGGGGCTGCTGTCAGTTGCTGTAAGGTGAAAAGCAAACCCTAGGAGGAACATCAGTGCTTCACCAAGCTCCTGAGCAAACTTGCTGCTGCCTTCAGAACCATAACCCCACCTTCCCCCCTCCTCTTTCTGCACTGACCATAGACAGCTAAATCTCTGTAGTATATTGCTATGTTGTATTCAGTGTAGTACAAAATGTTATGTATAGTACTCAGAAGCCTGAAGGAAGCAAGAATTAACTTACACTCTTTGTAAACAGTCAAGTCTATAGCTGATTGAAAATCAATTTTTTAAGGTGAAAAGTATTCTTAAAATCAATTCTCAAGCCAGAACACAATGAGCATCCTGCCCTGGCACACAGTAGGCCACCTACACTGTTGCAGACAAGGACCCAATATGCCAATATTCAGATACTTCATGTCCAGCAACTGGGAAATTGTTCAAATCACTTCAAGCAACTGAAAATCTTATAGCATGCAAAAAGAGGCATTACAGCTCAGCTACAATACTAAGTGGTTTATCTCTCAGTAGTAGGCTGGAGAGGAAGAAAACCCTCTGCAGAAGCTGCTAGTCAGAGAGGTGAAGAGGGACTCCTCTGAAGAGGAAAGATGGTAGCACCATCTAACTCCTCACACAACAGGAACACGCAGTTGTTTCAGCAGGGCGAGTAAGGGGGAACACTCCCAAAACAAGAAGGACAAACATTTACCAATGTTTGTAATCAGATTGGCATATCTGGATCTTAGAATAATTAAACCAGCAAGAAGAGGCCCTGGCCAGTGTTGGAGGAGGACACAGCTCCCTAAAAGCCACATGGTTAGAATTTAACTTCTGTGCTATGAGCTCCACTTCTTATAATCTAAGCATAGACAAAATATCTCTCATCTTGACCAGGGCTCTCAGAGCAGGCAGGTTTTCAAGGAGAAATGGCTGGTTTTGTCTCAGACCTGGTGAGTATCCGACTTCTTGTCTTCTAGCCCTACTTACTAACAGCAGCAGTGAAAATGAAAAAGACAAAACAGAAAAAACGCTCCTACTCTACTGCCGTGCACTCTCAAGGATATTTGAGGATACTCATCTGTTTGGAGTGTGATCAGACTAAATGCCTGAAAACATCTGTGCTTGTGAACAGTGCTCTAAGATCCGGTGTACCTCATGGAAACATAGCATTTCAAATAGGAGTCATTCAAGTAGTGACTCTAAAAATGCAGTTTTCTATGGGAATAATAGAAGTGAAATATAAAAAAAGCCAGTTTTAAGAGTACAGACTTGATTAATCTCTGGAAACCGGTGAACAATGTCTCTGAGGAGGCAAAGGTGAAGGAAAAAAGGGACTCAACAAAGCTGCAGCTTCTTACTAGTACAACAGCAAACTGAACAAGGCATTTATGATTAT